GAAAGTAGTGCATTAAACTAGCCATACTTTCTTAACTTTTCACATGAATCTATTTCATTAACTGTTTCACCTCAATCTATTTCATTAACTCTTTTAAATCCATCTACTCCATAATGCACCCATTTCGTGATACGTTGATTTCAAAAGTAACAAAACGATTTATGCAACAGTATCATGACTATTATAACATCTAAACGCAACAACTTTATATACATTTTTTCATGGATCTCAATGAAAGTAGTTCATTAGATTTCGAGTTTGTTACAACAATGAAAACGTTTCACTATCATGAACCGATTTCATTAAGTATTATCCACCGAAATCTTTTCACCTTCTCCATTAAAAAAAATTGCACAAGCACTGTTACTGCGATACATGAACTATCATGAATCTATTGCATACAACTTCATATTTTTAATYGTACAAGATACCAGAATCCTCATTYCATTGCAATTTCTTAAAATTAAAGATTTTAATAATATATTACAATAAAAGCTTAAAACATTACCATGTTTCATACTTTCTCCTAATAAATTTGCCTTWAATAAAATATATTACTAACTTCTTTAATTATCAAATTTTTTTGTAAAATGACATAAATAACCTTATCAATTAAATTTAATTAAAAATAAATGGAATTATCTTATTGGTCAAACTTGGTTCACACGGTTCGTAAGAATTGGACGGTTCGCATTTGAACCTGCCCCTATATAGATATATATATATATATATATATATATATATGATTTAAAGGCCGAGTTTTAATGTAAAAAGATTTTCCTACGGGAATTATATATAATATATATTAAAAACACTTAAATACGTACATATAAATATAAACTAGTTGTGTACTCAATGCGACGAGAGCTATGAATTTTAATGATTTTGAAGTTTCACGGATTTTATTAGAAAAGATTTAACGATGATATAAGTTACACTTGGTCTTTACATAATAATACAATTTGAATAAATAAGAGTTATGGTTCCAATTATAGTGTATAGATGAAAAAAATTTAAATGACACTTTAAAATCCAATATTTTTAAAATTCAACATATTTAAACGACTTCACAAATGTGTTCGATTTACACCAAGAGCAAAAAATCAAGAGATCGAAAACGAGACTGAGAGTTCTAGAGCAATTGAATGAAAGATGAATGAGAGAACTTTTAATAATTCATGGTGAATATAGTTTGAATCTCACGGGGATGGTAGAAGATAAAGAGGTATGAAAAAGTGAAGAAATGAATGAAATATGTCAAAAATATTTTGAAAAAGATTGAAAAAGAAAAGTGAATTAATTGCATCGGTAACTTTTTGCAGGAGAAATTCAAAAACCCCACCAAAAACCATTTTAAAGCGAACAAAATTGGAGTTCAGTTCATGTAAGCATTTAGAAGAAACGATTAGATCGGAAAAAGTGAATGCTGCTCATAATCAATTGCAATTAATTTTTTTGCTGATGCAGTATTGCAGTTGTCAAAATTAAATGCCATTGAATGCGTGGATGCTCTTCAAAACCAGTTTCACGCCTGCCTTTGTTCCTGTTCTTATCTCCAATAATTGAAGTGTAAATTTCCTCTTCTTTTTTTATTCCAATTTTTGTTTGTATTTTAGGGGAAATATTGCTTATGGGATTTTGATTGTCTTGTCCTATTGTTACTGGTGCCAATTGGGGAACCCTCAATCCTGCTTATCATTCACCTCTTGAAATTATGTGTTTCGTACGTGATTTCAGTGAATATTTAAGGCAAAAATGTAGATGGGAGTTATGATCTTCATGACACTTTATTCAAAGCTTCTTGAATGTGTGTGTGTTGGCATTTACTTTGTTTCCTCCCCTAAACCTTCACTTTTCATTCTGAAATTAAAGTTTTGATGTTTTAAGTTCAAATTTGATAGGAACTTTTCCAAGTTATGTAAACCCAAAATGTTCTCATTTGACATTCAAGAGCCAATTATCGTTTAAAGACCGAAAGGTGTATTAGTTATGATCATAGTTGCATCATGCTACTTAGATGCAAAGGAAAATTGAAGTAGTTGCATGAAACTAAATGCCTGAAATGCACAATCCTTTACATGTCTTATAAGAGGAAAATGTAGCCTTTGCTAGAATCAAAGTGATGATGAGATATATTAAGATATATGGAACCCCTTTGAATCTCTCTCTAAAAAGAGCCATTACTAAGAAATGGGAGGTTCAGGTTCCTACGTATATACAGGTTTGAGGGTATGCTACTCCAACACCTACCTATGGAGTCCAACTTGTTGAGAACAACTTATGATGTAATAGGTGATGCATTAAACTTGGCATACTTAAATGGTGCAAGTATTTATGATAAGATTCGGGACACCAAAGTAGGAGAAATACAATTGATACCAGTCTTTCATGATTTTTCTAAGTATGTATGCTCAATTGTTTAAATTGAGCTAACCGTTTGCCATGTATAGGCTAGATGTACTTGAGGACATGTGTATTCCGATTCCAAAGATCCATCGAAAGTACTAAATTATTAGTTCAAAGAAAATAAGACACTACTGTAGCTCTTTAAGTAACGAGGCAATGTACTTCTAGTTTTCACCTTTATATGAGAAACTTTTTGAGCTTATTGCATTTTTCTATTCATGGAAGTGCTTGGACCAATTGATTACTATGTTAGGGATGGATCTTGATTACAAGAAATGGTACCATGCTGTCCAGCCCTGTTTGTACTTGTTCCATATGCATAAACCATTGTACGTTATAAGCTTCAAAATGTGGTAAGTTTTCTCCAATAATTGCATCTTAACACCTTGCCATGGTCAGAAAAGGTTGGTTTATAATGATCATCATGTGCAATGCTGTTATAGACAGCTAGAGTTGCTATCATTTGGTCTGGCAACTTACCGTCTTACCCCACATGAAATTTGCATATTTTTTCATGTTTCTTAACTGTATAGTATTCAGTCACAAAAGGGTCACTCTAAATACCAATTTTTTTCTATTTTCATCTTTGTAGGGCTTCTTAGCTTACGTTGAATAAATCCCATCCTTGGTTTTACTCAATGATTATGACCGATGATCCAACTTTGTTGTAGTACAAGCAAAGTGCTTTGAGTGTCAGTCTGGCAGCGTGCTTTGTGGGACGTATTCCATACATTTATAGTTATACCTGATATAGAAGGATGGAACCATCCATTGCGGATGGATGTTAAGAGACCCACAATGCATTGATGTTATAATTCATTTGTGTTGCTTGAAATACTAGTTGGACTTTTTTCTGCATTCGCTTTCGTTGTGTTAAACAGCCTTCAGAATTTGGTGCCTGGGATCACGTTATTGTGGTGGTCCATGGTTCAATGTATAGGTATAGCTATAATTATTATAGTACTTATTTTCTTTGAGTGATATGATTAAACCACAGCCATAGAAGATGAGAAGAAAAGATGCCAAGAATGACACTATGAGAAAAGGGTCATTGTCACATGGAAGTACTTATGGTAATCGATATTTGAATTGCACAAAAAGTCTATGCCCGAAGCTCAATCTAGGCCCCATGGGGACTAAGTTTGGGGGCAGGCCTGAGCCTAAGCCCGACCCGAATAAGTCCACCCTGAAAAATCCTTGTTAATCCCGAAAAATTAAGCTGTTGAAGAAACCCAATCGGGCATTTTTTTAATCCCAAAAATCCTGTCTTGGGGACTAAAACCCGGGTTTTTTTCTTACTGAAAATGGGTTTGGTGCATAATCTTTATTTTTTTAAGCCCCTCGGATATTTAAAAAATATAGTAAATGTTTAAACAAGCCGATTTTATAGTTGGCCAACTATGAACGGCTTCATTTATTGGCGGGAAATTGACATCTTGTGTGTGATGTAAATGTAAGAAACTGACTTTCATTCTTCATTTCCAACACTCTCTCTCTGTATCTCTTTCTCTCTCTATCTATCTATCCATCTATCTCTCTGTGCAAACTGGCCAATTAGCTTTAGAATTCACAATGAGAGAAGTTGAAATTCTGTCAAACCAAGATTCTGATGAAATGCCAACTCCAAAAGTAGACTTGCAATCAGATTCAAGTTCAGCAGAAAAGAATGCTTCATTATCCGGCTTGTTTTATGCAGCCGATAAATGGGACTTCTTTCTAATGTTCTTTGGGAGCGTTGGCGCTTGTGTTCATGGTGCTGCACTTCCTGTTTTTTTTGTTCTGTTTGGTCGTATGATTGATTCCTTGGGTCATCTTTCTTCACATCCTCATAGATTGTCTTCTCAGGTTTCTAAGGTAAATATGTGCATTCTACTTTCCTCATTGCCCCATTTTCCAACTGAAGTTAAATACTTACCATTCCATTTCCTTCTGCAGAATTCTCTGTACCTGGTTTATCTTGGACTGATTGTTTTCGTTTCATCATGGATTGGTACTTTTCTTTCTCTCATTCCATAGAAAGATGTAAAACTTTGACTTTGAGGTCAAAACTAGTTCTGTAAATCTTGAAAGTCAATATGGATTTCTTGACAAACTAACTCTGGGTTGTGTTACATGGGTTCTATAAAGCTATCTATGAGGATATTTAGGCATATTTGTTGTATGGCTTGAATTGCTTGTATGGTGATTGACAGGTGTTGCATGCTGGATGCAGACGGGAGAAAGGCAAACAGCTCGTCTACGTTTCAAATATCTCCAATCTGTGTTGAGAAAAGATATTAAATTTTTTGACACCATAGCTAAGGATAGAAATATACTTTTCCACATCTCTAGTGATGCGATACTGGTGCAAGATGCCATAGGCGACAAGGTACAGCAATCGGAAGCCGGTAACTCTTAACGAAATGGTTTAATTAATATAGGAAGAATTACTTGAACTCATCTGGTAAGTTTTTCATTGGATAAAATTGCAGATAGGCCATGGTTTACGTTATCTTGCCCAATTCTTTGTCGGGTTTGTGGTGGGATTTACTTCAGTATGGCAGCTCACACTTCTCACATTGGCCATTGTGCCACTCATAGCTTTTGCTGGAGGAGCCTACACGATGATCATGACTACATTATCGGAGAAAAGCGAGGCTGCGTATGCTGAAGCCGGGAAAGTCGCTGAGGAGGTAAAACCACTTGCACAACTTAATTATCACCTTGTAGCAACTTGAAAATCACAGAAACAGCCTCTCTACCCTTTGCCATAGAGTAAATCTCAACGTACATCCTACCCCTAGACCCTATCTATGTGGGACTTACATTTACTAGGGATCTGTTTGTTAGCAGTTTAATGAGCTTAATGGGACTAATAGCTTATTCGGTCAGCTATACATGACTGTTTGGTAGTGGCTTATGATATAGAAAGTGGCTTATTCAGTAAGCTTCTAGGAGGAGCTTTATGCAGAAAGTCAAGTTTTTTTCCAAACGCTCCCTCCCAATCAAAAAACACGGTCCTTCCATCCATGAAAAAACCCTCCCAAACACAAACTTTCCCAATCTATAAGATCGATTAATCTACACAGACAGCTTTACCCATACATGATTTGATGGAAAACCAACCAAACAGCCCCTAGGTTTGTTTGGTTCATTTTGGTTTTTAGCAACTTGAAAAGTCATGGAAACAACCTATCTAGTATCTACCCCCTCGATAGAAGAAAAATCTGTGTACATCCTACCCCCAGACCCTATCTGCATGGGATTTACAGGGTTCGTTTGGTTCGGTTTCATTTTTAGCGACTTGAAAACTGCTGATTCACAAAGACTTTTGTTTTGTGTATATGGATTTGTCAGAATCTATCACAGGTTCGTACTGTATATTCATTTGTGGGCGAGAACAAAGCAGTTGATTTGTACTCCAAGTCACTTCAAAATGCACTAAAATTAGGGAAAAAGAGTGGGTTTGCAAAAGGAGTGGGCATTGGCTTCACATATGCACTCTTGTTTTGCGCTTGGGCTTTACTTCTTTGGTACGCTGGCATACTCGTACAACACCATGATACAAATGGTGGCAAAGCATTCACAACAATTATCAACGTCATCTTCAGTGGTTTGTAAGTTTGGGTTATTGAATCTTTGATCATAATTTTTATTTGATTTTTTATTTTTAAATTTAACGAAAACCAGAACCTCTGCTTTTGTAGTGCTCTTGGTCAGGCTGCACCGAACCTTGCAGCCATTGCTAAAGGTAAGGCAGCTGCTGCAAATATTGTAAGCATGCTTGAGGAGGATGTTGATGCTTCTAGTAAGTTGAATACCGGGATGGCATTCTCAAATGTGGATGGAAATATTGAATTTCGTGAGGTCTGTTTTGCTTATCCATCTCGACCAAATATGGTATTTGAAGATTTGAGCTTTTCAGTTGATGCCGGGAAAAAACTTGCAGTCGTTGGTCCTAGTGGTTCAGGAAAAAGCACCATCGTTTCCATGATTCAACGGTTCTATGATCCCACTTCAGGTATCAAACAAAACAAACGCCATGTTTGTCAACCATAAGCTAGCTTATTGAAAAATTTCGTTTGGTAAGCCATAAACTAGCTTTTCTAAAAGCCACTTCAAATAGTGTTTCAATAAGCTGTAGGGGCTTTTTCACTTTTTTCCAACTATTACCCTTATATTTTACATGAGTAATTTTTCAACATGTCATTTTAAGTCATTTTACAGCTTCATCTAGCTTAACTACTTGTTTTTACCAAAAATGACTAGTTTATCATCTATGCATCTCTTTTATTAAAATAGAGAACCAAAAGTTAAAATAATTACATTAAACTCCAACAGGACCTTTGTGTTAAAGATTTCAACATTAATTAAATTATTAAAATATTCTATAAATTTATCATCCCAATAAACTTTTCTTTAACGAAATATATATAATAATTCAATCTCATTGGTGGGAATGAATAAAAAATTATTTATCTTTCCTCAGTTCAAGTTTTAGAGAATTCTCTAAACTTGAAGTTCTTTTCTTGTTTTCTCTATTTCAGAGAACAATATAAAGAATCTGTTGGAGCAAAATAGAGAACAAAACTCCATTCTCTCTTTTAGGGAATTGGTTAGAGACGCTCTTAGTCAACAACAAGCTTATCAATTAGTTTACCAAACATAGCCAATCCTACCCTGGCTGGTTTCTATGTAGTTACTTCGTTAACCATATCTGATTTGGGGTGTGTTTGGATTTTGTAGGTGAAATATTGTTGGATGGCCATGATATAAAGAATCTTCAGTTAAATTGGTTAAGAGGGCTCATGGGGTTGGTTAGTCAGGAACCAGCATTGTTTGCCACAACTATAGCTGAAAACATCTTGTATGGTAAACCAAATGCCGCTATGAACCAAATAATCGAAGCTTCCAAAGCTGCAAATGCGCATTCGTTCATTCAAAGTTTACCTGATGGGTACCACACTCAGGTAGGAGAAGGAGGAACCCAACTTTCAGGAGGGCAAAAACAAAGAATAGCTATCGCAAGAGCAACTCTTAGAAATCCGAAGATTTTACTACTAGATGAGGCAACAAGTGCCCTTGATTCCGAATCAGAACTCATCGTTCAGCAGTCCCTAAACACAGCTATGTCAAACCGTACAACAATTATCGTGGCACACAGACTATCTACGGTTAGAGAGGTTGACACCATCATTGTTTTAAAGAATGGTCAAGTTGTCGAAAAGGGTACCCATTTAGGATTGATATCTAAAGGTGGAGAGTATTCGACTTTATCAAGTTTGCAAGCATCAGAACCTGCAAAAGATTCAACCACAAAAGGTCAAACCAGTTCTAACTTTCAGAATTCACCCGATAATAATAAAAAAGCCTATTATCAAGAAGTTGACTCCGTGACTACAATGATGCTGCACCCAAATGATCAAAATCAACCATCTATATCTTCCAAGAACACCCCATCAATTTGGGATCTTGTTAAACTAAATCAGCCGGAGTGGCCTTACGCAGTGATGGGATCCGTGGGTGCAATTTTAGCCGGCATGCAAGCTCCTCTGTTTGCTCTCGGGATTACATACATCTTGACTTCATTCTATTCTCGTGACAATTCCAAAATCAAACATGATGTAGAATGTGCATCCTTCATATTTGTTGCAGCCGGTCTTGTAACTATCCCCATATATATGTTGCAGCATTACTTCTATACTTTGATGGGTGAACGCCTCACTACCAGGGTCCGTTTATCCATGTTTTCAGGTTTGTTTGCGTACATCTTATCCCCCATACTGTATTTGTTGGGATTTATTGGGTTTGTTTGGTTTGGTTAACTTGATCTTGTTAATTATTTTCTGTAGCTATGCTTACCAATGAGGTTGGTTGGTTTGATATGGATGAAAATTCTACGGGCTCCCTGATCTCAAAGTTGGCGGCAGATGCCACATTAGTAAGAAGTGCGTTGGCTGATCGTCTATCGACAATCGTACAAAATATAGCTCTAACCGTAACTGCATTTGTGATCTCTTTTATACTGAGCTGGAGAATAGCATTAGTTATTGTTTCTACCTTTCCCCTTCTAATTGGAGCTTCCATAACTGAGGTCAGACCTTCTGTATCTTTTTTTAATGTACAATACACACACACACACATATATATATATAGAGAGAGAGGGGGGGGGGGGGGGAAGTTCCGTTACAAACCTAAAATTGATTAGGAACCCGGGAACTGTCCGATTCATCATATGTCACTCTGCAGGACGAATATTCATCATGAATCACACCTTAATGATGAATATGGACTTGTTATGGATGTAAAATGATCTAAAAAGAAAATATATGGGGAATTTATGTCAAATATAAGGGGGGTAACTGGAAAAGGTTGAAAAAAAACCTCAATAAGATATCTGAAGTAGCTTTTCAAAAGCTAGTTTATGGCTTACCACACGAGACTTTTTCAATTAGCTCAAAAAATAAGCAAGCTACATGAACTAATGTTGATTTTATATGTTCATACCTGCAGCAACTTTTTCTAAAGGGATTTGGTGGAGATTACACAATCACATATTCCCGAGCCACGTCCATGGCTCGGGAAGCCATCGCCAACATCCGTACTGTTGCTGCATTTGGTGCGGAAGATCGAGTCTCGAGCCAATTCTCAGCCGAACTCAACCGGCCCGGAAAGCAAGCTCGGCTCCGTGGCCATATATCGGGTTTTGGGTACGGTTTTTCGCAGCTTCTTGCATTCTGTTCGTATGCGCTCGGTCTTTGGTATGCATCGATATTGATCCAACATAAAAATTCCAACTTTGGTGAAATCATTAAGGCCTTTATGGTTTTGATAATTACCGCGTTATCGATAGCTGAAACGCTCGCCCTCACACCCGATATCGTGAAGGGTACGCAGGCGCTCGGTTCGGTTTTCGAGATCCTGAACCGGAAATCTGCCATAAATCCCGACGATCCGAATTCAGTGCCGGTAAGTCACATCAAAGGAGATGTAGAATTCCGAAACGTGAGTTTTAGGTACCCCATGAGGCCGGATATTTCCGTCTTAAATGATTTGAATTTGAAAATAACGGCGGGAAACAGTATGGCGATAGTTGGACCGAGTGGATCTGGGAAAAGCACCATCGTTGGATTACTGATGAGATTCTACGACCCTGATTTCGGTTCAGTTTTCATTGATGATCTCGACATCAAGAAGTTGAATTTGAAATCGTTAAGGCAACGGATCGGGTTAGTACAACAAGAGCCGTCATTATTCTCGACGACGATCTACGAAAACATAAAGTACGGGAACGAAGAGGCGTCGGAGATCGAGATCACAAAGGCGGCGAAACTGGCAAACGCTCACGAATTCATCAGCCGGATGCCCAACGGTTACGAGACGCAAGTCGGTAACAACGGGATTCAGTTATCCGGCGGGCAAAAACAGAGAGTCGCGATAGCAAGAGCCGTCCTGAAAGACCCTTCGATCCTTCTTCTGGACGAAGCCACAAGCGCTCTCGACACAGCCTCCGAGAGATTGGTTCAAGAAGCGCTTGATAAGCTCATGGTGGGACGAACCACCATTCTCGTGGCGCACCGCTTGTCGACAATACGTAACGCCGACAGCATCACGGTGCTGCAGAACGGAAAGGTGGTCGAGCGTGGGGCCCACGACACGCTCGTCCGGATGCCGGAGAGTGTGTATGCACATTTGGTTAGCCTTCAACAAGAGAAAAGCATACAAGTTGAGGGTGAGTAAAAGACTATAATGTCCTTTCTTATTCAAATACTTATAGGCACATATATTTTTGGGTAAATATATATTATTATTAATATTATTATTAAATATACCATCAAACATACCATTTAATAAAATACCCTAATTAAATTTGTATGGTACAAATAATTTAATGCAATTTGTAATGTTGGTTTGGCTCAAAAAGTAGTGACATAAAGAACATGGTATCACATGTATTTTGTATATGATTTAAATGTTACTTTATGTCTTCTTTTTATTGATTAAATTTGTAATATCTGTGTTATTTATCAAATGTATATGAATTATGCTGAACTCGCAGTATTTTGGTTATTTTAGGGATTTTTTTTACTGTAAAAGGTATTTATGTTTGTCTTTTTACTGTAAAAGGTATATCTGTGTTATTCATCAAATGTATATGAATTATGTTGAACTCGCGGTATTTTGGTTATTTTAAGAATTTTTTTCACTGTAAAAGGTATTTCTGTTTGTCTTTTTACATCAAAAATAAAATTAGATTCCAAACTTTAACACATTATTTGTCCATTTGGCTTTAGAATGATATATAACACAAAAAATTGGATGTTTTGTCGCATATAATTTGTTCAGTAGCGTAAATGATTAGGAATAAATGACTTTTTTGGTCAACTTGTACATAAAATACTGAGAACTTGAAATGCGTATACGTAAGAACACAACTTTAAATGATCATAATTTATGGTGTAAATCAAACTACACGGTCTACAATCACTGCATGGAAGGTCAGAACATACCCCACAGATAGGGTAGCCAAAATGGGTTAGTCTTGTGATCGAGCACTGATTGGGACCTATTATGGCCTGATGGTCTGAGACCGGTTTCAAGTTTTATGAGAAATCAAGACTTCACTGAGCCGGAATTGGTTATATATATGACTGATTTTCAAATAAAGTTAAGTTTCAAAAGTTATCATACTGGTTTTTCTATCTTTAAGTTTGTTTCAAAGGGTTTTTTTTAATATTCAAGGTTAAATTAAGTTTTTCAAATAAATGTATTATTTAAAACGTATTTCAATGTTCAATTTAAAATTTATAAGTATAAAAACATGTATAACCTAAAGATTTAAAAGTATTTTAATTAAACCGGTCCGAGATTGGGACTAAATTTGGTACCGATTCAATGGAATTGGGGCTAGTTGTCGAGTCCATTATCGGTCCTAGGATTCTTAATCAGAACTAGACTAACCGACTTGATTTTGTTGGGGGCGGTTTGGGTTTGATCAACCCCGACCCGGCATCAATTTTTTAAGATCATTAGGGGTTGTTTGTTTACCTTTTAACAGTTCCATTAAGAGGCAATCTCTGAATCGTTAAGAGGTGAATCTTGTTTAGCAAAAAAAAAATATGTTTTTTAATGGTTCTAAAATCCTCTGAATGATTTTGTATTATGGATTTTCCTTAACCATTAAGAGCCCTAATTTCATTGTATACAATTACCAAGCAATTATAATTCATTTTGCACTATATCATGATAGCCTCTTAAGCATTCTAACTTCATCATTCTACGTCAAACCATTCAGTAATTGTCAAGCATGCCCTAATTCACTACACAAATACGACAAATGTCCTTGGTGGTTTGGCCCAAACATCATGTCCAAAATGCATCATTTGGAACTTTGATTACAATTTTCCCCAAATTCCAAAAAGAAACTAAGGGGCCGTTTATCAAATACTTACTTGGGTAAGTGAACATCAAGTCACATTACCTTACTGGATGAATATGGTAAGGATCAAGAATCTTACCCAGTAAGAGCGAGACAAAGACCAATAGTCTTACCCGGTAAGTGAGGGCGACGACTCTTACCCGGTAAGTGAGGGCGACGACTCTTACCATGGTAATCGCTTACCGGGTAAATTGTTGCATGCAATACCATTTTGGTGGACTAAAATCTTACATGGTAAGTTAATGATAGTGTTAAATTTTACCGGTGAGCACTTACCGCGTAAGTGTTTGGTAAACGGCCTCTAAGTTTATTTTGTTGTATTTTAAATATAGTTCGTGTGAAATCAAATATGTCGATTAATAACGTCTCATTAGACAGTAAATTCTGATTATTCTACGCCTAATTTTGAATTTCAAAACAACTCGAAACTAGTCTGTTATATATGAAAACTCTTATAATTTTAAGAGTTATACTGATATATATATATATATATATATATATAATCTGTTAAATTTTATTTAAACGAAAAAAAAAACAGTTTTGATTAATTTTTAGACATTGATTCCATCTTTCCATACATTTATGACAAACTAATTTTTTTTTTCCGATGATAAACGTATTTAACACAAAAAATGATAACATTAATAAACTTTAAAATCTATATACATATTAACCAAATATTATATTCGTAAGTGACATCTTCTTAATTTATGAAGGGGTCAAAATGTAATTTTTTTCTTCTAAATATGGTTTACAAATACATGGACTAAATCTGTAAATTAGATAAAGATTTAGAAAGTGATGGAAGTGTTTGGATTAATTTACAGATTTCATCCCTTTACTTACGGATCATGTTCATAAACTTCTTTTTACCATTTGACTCCTCCGTAAATTAAAGAGTTATTACTTATCTATATCTATACTATATTATAAAGCATTTGGCAAAAACTTTTAAAAACAATTATTTATGCATGAAGTAATGTGTATTAATGCATATTACTTAAAATTTAATATTACAAGAGTAAGTTATACATAAGTACAACTTATTAAAGCTCAATTGTTGAATTCGTGTAACTAACTACAGATAAGCATAATCAAATACAAGATAAACCTCTAATTTTAAATATAAAAAATCTAAAATATAATTAAGATAATTATTGATTTCTAACATAATCGTATTTATAAAATTTTATCGTTAAGCCAAAAATAAATTACTTCGTTTTGACATAAACTAAAGTATAATAAAAAATTGAATTAAAGAAATTATATAAAAAACGAGAATTTCTAAATAGTTAATTTGATATTAATATCGATATACTTTTTCAAAATTTTATGATGTCTTTAGATTTATTTTTATTTAAAAGTAAAAACATTATTTTTTCTCAAAATAACAAAAACCGTATTATATCAACATAAATGAAAAATAAAATAAAATATTAAAATAAAGATGTATCTCGTGGTATTGTGCGGGTACCATCCTAATAAAGGTAACAACATATTTGAAATATTAGAAAAGAAATGACTAAAAAATTAAATCAAAACTATTTTTAATTAATTTCTGTTGTTTGTTTTAATTTTAAGACAGAAATATTATCTATACTATATTATAATGCATTTGGCTAAAACTCTTAAAAACTCTTAAACTCTTAATCTCTTAAACTCTTAAACCCGCTCATCCCTAAACGATTTCATCGCTATCCGATTTCATCCCATAACTGAATTCGCGTAACTAACTGCAGATAAACACAATCCAATACAGGATAAACATCTCATTTTAAATATAAAAAATCTAAAATATAATTAGGATAATTATTGAGTTCTAACAAAATACTTAATCATTATCTTTATAAAATGTTATATTATTAAACCAAAAATAAATTATTTTATTATTAAACTTAAATTAAATTAAAAAAAAATATATATACTATATTATAAAGCATTTGACAAAAACTCTTAAAAACTACTTTTTATACGTAAAGTACTGTTTATTAATGCATATTACTTAAAACT